CTTAGATTCCAATGAATGCCTAGCTAAGAATCACACGTGCAATGCTAATGCTACATGTACGGATACCGTGGGTTCATACACATGTACTTGTAATACTGGATTTATGGGAAATGGAAGGAGCTGTTCAGGTAAGACGCAGTCTTCGTTTAGATTTTGGTAGCTTCTTGGCAATAGAGCTGATATCCCCAGCAGTCACAGATGTCTGGCTGTAATCTTAATCCATATCCACTTGGCTTTCGGACCGAATTTAGACAAAATGAGAATGACGAGGGTCGCAAGTTCGCAACTGCTTTCACAATTTCCCACCGCTGTACATGGAAACACCAGAACGGTGATGGTGGCAGTCAACGGCTGAAATGACTGTAGTAGATCGAGAGGCTGGTTCCATGATTCTCTAATATGTGTTCCATGCCTGCCATTACAATCAATTGAGAGTTGTAAAGTGTTGTTAGTCACTTTTAATGACCTGCAGTTGTTGGATGCACATGAATAACGATGAATCCGAGACTCTTGGCCGGAGAAGCTGCTTCTACCCCGCCCCCGCTTCCATCCAATATGACACTGCCCCCGCTGTGCAGCATCTGATGGTTCTGTGGTATTCAGTAAGAACAGTTTAAAAAGTGAGCGATGCTCGTCAGCACAAGCACAGTTGCAAGCCATCAGACGAAGCATAGGGTTAAGAGACGTTTAATTCTGCATTTTAGAAGAACTATAGCCTGCTCAGACATAGATAATCGGCCACGAAATCCACCAGGAAAAAGAGCTAGAATATTGCCTATGTCGTAGTATTTCTTGTGGTATTTAAGAAAGGTGTTTTCACTTCATTTTCAGATACTAATGAATGTTTACTGGAACAATATATCGAAAAGTGTGATCGTAATTCTGCTTGTCAAAACACTGTGGGGTCATATCATTGTAAATGTAACATTGGTTATGAAGGAACTGGTACATTCTGCACCAGTAAGTTACTATAACAATGAATACTTGGAGATTTTCTGTTTCCTTGTATTGCCTGATCACTGTTGTACCAATTTCTAGAATATTCGCGACGTCTCTGGACATTTTTTCTTCCCGTTCTCGTGCAGTCATGCCCAGGTAGTTTGCTTCTCTGCATCATGCCATGTTTTTACGACTTATTTGACGTGACATACTGCTACTATGCTTCAACGTGGAAATGCATAATAATTATTAGCTTTCTTAAGTGTGAAGTATGTGGGCTACAGTGAGGGCTGCGTCTCACCCGCGAGTTTTTTTTTGACGTCTGAGGAAAATGTCGCTGTGATGACAGCTACACCGTAGCTGGTTGGTTAGAGCACCGCTGGCCTCAGGCGAAGGTCCCTGGTTCGAGTCCTGGTGATGATAGTCGATTTGTTCTTCTTCAGACTTTTCCGATTTGCACCTTTTCCCTCAAACTAATGAATACTAATAAGTTACTGGATTAGTTCCAGATCAGCTGAATGTTTCCATAGCAACATCCAACCAGTACCCATCTCTTCAGTATGGAAGTAGCACCACTCTTTCACCTCATTCTGCCGCCGGGTCATTTTTCCTATTCACTGAAAGCAGTGTGTTTTGCAAGACCACTTACAGCTCTCGCCAAGATACTGGCTAGAACTGCGACATTTTCAAATATTTCCGGCATGTGCATGCTTTAAGTTGAGATGCAACTCGATCAGGACATTGTGCTTGTAAAAACAGCAGCACATCACCATGAGAAAAGTCATTTGTTGCCTCAATACAACTCCTGTGCACTCAGGCATGGTTGGATGGTGTATGGCTGTGATTGAGAAGCAGAGGGTACCAGGTTAAAGTCCTGCTAGGCAGTACAGGGACTCTTCATTGTACACGTGTTTTTTGCCAATTTTCAGATTCCAACGAATGTTTATCTGGAAATTATACATGCGATGGCAATGCTACATGCATAGACACTATTGGTTCATACACATGTAGGTGTAATGCTGGGTATTTGGGAAATGGGAAAAGCTGTTCAGGTAAGCTGCATTCTTCGTTTACATTAAGACATTGGTGGGTTCTTGCTCAACAGAGCTCATACCCCAAGCCGCAATTCTTATCTTCCTAGCCACTTGACTTTCAGCAACGATTGCGGTAAAAAGGAGAAATGCATGAGTCACAAAAAGCAGGATGTACAAATGGCCCAGTATCTGCAAAAATGGACCTAAGGGTGATTTTCATAAGAATGACTTTTTTATTTTGTCATCTATAGGTATCTAGTGATCACATGGCAAAGTATTAGACCGAACGAAGCAATATTGATGACCCAGAAGCTACAACAATTTATCATAGCGTTTTCCACATCGGAACACTATGTGTTACAAAATGCAGTGTAATAAATCAGCCATCCAGTTTTGTTGTAAATCAACTGTCGGGCAACCTCTGGCATAGAGCATGGATTGCCTTGATCCTCACCACTGCAGACCAATGGAATCTGCTTGAATGCCATCCCAAGTCTGCTGAATATCGACAGAAGTGCAGAACAGGAGGGAAGGTGGTTACAATTACCCCTGGAGTCCCAATCTGTGCATCCCATATGGAATATGACACAGACACAACATTCTAACGCCACAGACTTCATCTTGTACATGATTAGTGGTAGTCCATCATTTTTTCTGCTGCACCTCAGTGAAAGTTGATCTCTGTGGGAAACTGGCCGCATGCGCATCAGTGAACCATGATTCTAGCACTGCGCGCACGGAGAGTTCGTAGCTCATCAATAGATGTTAAGCTCATGCCCCGACCAAGGGTTTTAGTGTTCAGCACGGAGTCCAGGGTGGGAGACTGGAGAACTTCAGATCATGTCACTAGCGGCAGCGGTCTTTCGCCCTGACTCGAGTTGATGCACGGCATTTCAGTTTGTCTACCTCTGTCACCGTCGCCTTACTAATTTCACCTCATTAAGTATTTCTCCTGAGTGGAGCTGTACTGAAATCAGACGTTTTAGTCTTTGAGAGGTTGGGGTGTAGTCTGCTCCGATACTGACGCCGATAAGGTTTCGTCAGATGGTGGTGGATCTGGCAAGGGCGCGTGATTGGCGTTTGTTGAGGAGGCAGAGCCTTCTTTGGTTCATCAAGATAGGGACTATTGATAGACTGTGGTGTCCGACTTGCTTTGAAGTCGCCATCGATTACCGTCACCGCTGTTGCTATTGCTGATGATGCCGCCCCCAAAGGAGGTGAAATGACCCTTCAGCAGGTTCTGTTTTTTGGAATCCTTAAACTGTTGTCACCTTGCAGCCTTTTCAAAGAAGCAAAGTATTAGGAAATTAGGCCACTTGAACTCCACTGCTCTTTTCTCTCCGAAACTCAACACTTGCAAGCCAGATATGAAAGAAAGAAAAAATCATCAGTCACACCACCGGGACTCGAACCAGAGACCTTGCTATTCACGAGCGATGCTTGAGTTTCAGAGAGAAAAGAGCAGTAGGAGGCAAGTGGCCTCTAATTTCCTAATGTTTTGAAATTCTCCTTGAAGTCCAAATTTGAAGAAACAAAGTGTTCATATAGGTATTGGGATTCCAAGTCTCCCACCTTGCAGTTTACATTATCAGCCGTGCGTGGATTGAGTATGTGCACTAGCAACAATTTTCACTCTTTTCTCATGTTTATGTTCACACAGCATCCCTTTCTGGTTCTCTCCAAGTGGGTCCGTTTGTTTCTTATCGACCGCACACTCTAACATTGGATCCATTGCTGTTGGTCATATCTGTTATGACTCCGATTATAAATATAGTACACGCTTTCCCTATTTTTAGATGCTGATGAATGTAGCAATGGAGTACATGGTTGCGATGGCAAAGCTACATGCACAAACTCAGTGGGTTCATACACATGTAAATGTAACGTTGGCTATGTGGGAAATGGTACACTCTGCACCAGTAAGTTACTGTGCAGTTTCAGTTCACCTTTATTGTTGGACACACCTCCCAAAATTGAAAACATTTGGAAAAAACACCTTTTTGGAGACGTTTCCGATCTAGTAGTGTAGATATTTCCCTCTATTGTACATGTAGTGCATGGTTCGGGAAAATAGCATCCGAAGCTCGTTCCCCAATGGGTCCTTGACGTTTGGCTAATGTTGTGATGTAAATCACACATATGTAGATACTGGTTATTGCACCACCGTATGTACGTATGGCTACGTGTATTGGTGATATATGGCGCAACACCAGTACATGGCTCGGGCGCTGTTGGCTTGTTCGTCGTTTGCGCACAGACCCACAGTGTATAGCCTGCAAGTGCTTGCTTTGGTCGCCAAAATTCACTTTTTGTTGGTTGCCAATCTGAATTGAACCCAGTTCCAAGTCATCCATGGGCTTTGGAACAAATTCTTTGGCATGAATGTTGTAGACCGCAAAAGGAAACCAGCCTGTTGCACCAAAGCGTGTTTAGGGAGATCGAATAGACTTCATTGTTGTTCAAATTTGCTCTCTCTAGAAATAAAACTTGCGAGCTCAAACATACATTTGCACTCTCCTTTCTGGGGGTGCAGAAATTAAAAAACAAAGAACATACCGTATTTTACCGGTTGTAAGTCGACTCCAGTTATAGGTCGACCCCCGTATCTGGAGGTCCCAATTCTGCGTTTTAAAGTGTTCACCCAAAGAAGCACTACTAACCACGTCCTGCTGCTAACACATCAACAAATCATGTAAACATTCCTTATTGGAGGGTGTAACGTCCCAATCCTTGAAAAAGGCCAATAAACTGGCAAAAATGTGTAAACATGCTGCACTCGTGCATGCAGTGCAGATCATTTTTTGTAAGATACTGATAGTTCCCGGTTATAAGTCGAATCCCGGTTGTAAGTCGACCCCCACCCTTTCTCCTTCTATTTTAAGTCGGAAAAGGTCCTTACAACCGGAAAAATACGGTATTTTTAATATTCGCATGCAACAACGCAAATCCACACAATTCAGTAGACACTTCCTTTTTATCAAACGTTTTCTTTCCCTTCTCTTCAGGATAGTACAGGGAATGTTGGAAATTTGGAAAAACACATAACTATAATAGGAAAATAGAGAAAAAGTCAACACTTCAACATAGGCGATAAAATGACTAAGGGGCCATCCGTAATTATCGATCTTTTTTACGAAACGAAAAAAAGTTTCGTTTATGGGTGGGTGGGTAGTGACCGGTTTCGTTTTGAAAAAACATCGAAAGCGGAAAAATCAACGCGCACTGTATGCATGCATCAATGCATGCATACATTGTGTACTTCGAAGTAGATCGACAGTACGTACATGTAAGTCGCGCGGCCAGGCAAGTGCTGCATGGATGCACTGATACCGCTCTGTACTCAGTGCAGTCGTGAGTTCCTTTTGTGCTCGGATGACTTCTCCGACGAGGAATGTAGCAGTCATTCGCTCTGGGACCGAAAACAGATAGATAAACACTTCGTTCCAGCCGCCGATGCAAAAGAATTTCAAATTACAGAGCGGGGCGCACGCCAAGTAAATTCTCACGCAAATATGGGGAGCGCCAGCCGCTGAAGACGATGTCGTCGTAATGTACCTGGAAGAATCTGATCGTGCTTATGGTGGGAAAGCCATGGAGAGTGATCCCCGTGTCAACAGTCTTCCAGAGACGGAAATTTAGGCCATCGACTTTCTACGTACCTGATTGACGGCAGCGCAGCGCGGCGTGTGTGCGACCTTACGGAGCTTTCCGACAACGATTCTGGAGCGATGCTGCTCTCATTTGCAAGCGAGGCACGACCACTGAAGTCTGTGATAGCTATGGCGTTTGTTTCCGCTCCGAAGTTGACTTGTTTTGGCAGTATCATGTCAATGTCGGAACTCTGACGTACACAGTCATGCAAAACGTCGTTTTGCATGACTGTGTACTATTCCCGTGTTTAGACGTAGAGGTGCCAATTATTTAGCAGCGTATGTGTGTGGTAGGTGAAAATAAAATGTTTCCATGGTCAAGAAGTAGTACCAGACTTCTAAGAAAACATAACTGACTTGTACATTCATACAAAATGTGGCCTCGCTGTTAGTTATTGGCAACATTCTAAAATGTTATGGATTTTATATACAAAAGTAACTATTACTTGCCGGTAAAGGGTTAATAGTGCTTGCATGCGAAGGATATGATTGTGTGTGTTGTAACAGCCAATCAAGATCATTTTCTGTTTATTTTTTCGTTTCAGGGGGGTGGGTGGGTGGGGGTGGGTCAAACTAAACTTTTTCGTTTCGTGAAAAAGATCGATAATTACGGATGGCCCCTAAAGTGTTAAAAAAACTCGAAAACAAAAGCAGCAAGTTGTAGACAAACACGTTGAACACATCAAGAAGCACTTGTCACACTTTCACGAGGTGTGACACCAAACAACTGCAACGATAACACATTTTCCTTCTGTACACATAGTTCTGGATCTAGTTTACGAATATACAGAGCTTCTAACACAGCAAGATGTAACTTAGACCTTCCACGAGTTAAAACCGAAAAGACATTATCACTATACAACTCACGACAATTAGCACTTCCCGACAAAAAATACGCTTGATGGACGATGTCCGATCATTTAGCTCTGTCACCTTCGACCTCAAACCAATCATGCAGGATCCGAAACCATTTGGACCGGACAGGTGCCCCGTGGTACTCCGCTTACCCTGGGTGGGTGCTGGTTCTGCGCGCGTAGAGAAGGAGGTGCGCAGCATTGTCTGTTCGTCTTACCCGTGCGTGAAATTGTATGTAGTATTTGGAACGACCCGTGCGTTCAGTGTGAAGAAGGACGTTCTACCTACCCTTAGTAGAAGCAATCTTATCTATTTTTTTTCAGTACCGAGAATGTAAAAATCGGTACGTAGGTAGAACTCTTCAGCACCTGCACGCACGTATCCGTCAACACGTGCCATTAGGTCTTGTCCCTGTTGACGCTCGTGGTACTCGTCCGCGTCCTGGCCGTCCTCCAA